CCTCCTTGGTGTACAAAAGTGGAAACTGAGGCCCAGATATAAATGAGAGACCTGCCCTGAGTCACACAGAGCTGCGACTGGGACCCAGGTACCTTGACTCTCAGTCCAAGACTCTCCTGTACACTATGGGACGTCTGTAAATGGACGTAACTTTTTCTGTTTTGAGTATCGACTGTACACCCCATGTCACTGTCTCCATCCTCCTTTCCCATCCTATGGCCACTGCTCTGATCAGGACTTCATGCCTCTTGCCCGGGTATGGGCCTCATTCTAAGTCTGTCCAGCTTCCATCTGCAGTCCTGCCCCCCACACAGCAGCCAGAGGGATTGTCCTTAATGCAGTCCTGACTCTGTTACCCCCTGCTTCACTGCCTATTTGACAGGATCCAGGATCCATAATCCGACTTATAGGGCCCTTCAGGATTGGCCACTGCCCGACCTCATCTGTCAAATAAGGCCTATATTCCTCACTACTAAACTCAATGGATGCCTCCTCCAGGCAGCTTTCCGAGACCCCTCCATCTGTGAGCGACACTGTGTCTGACTCTATCACAGAGCCCTTCCCAGGGTGGGAGGGTCTGACCCCAGGGTCTGCTCCACCGGCTGGTGAGTGCTTCCAAAGCAGAGACCACATGGCCCAGCATGGCTATCGCCTGCTCCCTCCACCGACTTTGACCTTGCTGTGTGCAGTTTCCTCTTGTTGGTTCCAGAGTGTCCATCCATAGCTGGGAAGGCAGGGAGCACGGAGCGGATGGCGGGAGACGGTGATGTCTCACCCTGAGTGGGCTCCATCCCACCCAGCTTGGCCATCTTCTGATCTGACTCGGGGGTGAGTATGTCTCTACTTGAGTCATGGGCACTGAGAACCTGGCCCGGCCCGGGACTCTGGGAAGTCTCAGGGGCAGAACTTAACAACCAGTCTCCTCTGAGTGCAGCCAAGGAAAGTCCTGGGCTTGGAACTCAGTGCTGGGATCCTAGGAGCTCCGCTTCCTGGAATCAGTCCTAAGGGGAAAATCCACAACGTGGACAAAGACGAATACGGCAGAATTTATTTATAGTAGCAAAAATCTGCAAATAATCTAGAAGTCCAGCAGTAACAGAAAGGTTAAATACACTAATGTGTATTCAGATGGTGAAATATTGTGACGCCATTAAAATTATGTTTGCAAAGAGTTGTTATTAACATGGAAAAGTGTTAAGTGAGAAAGAATGGAATACAAAACCATATGCGTGGTGTGCTCATAACTGACAAAAATGCATAAAGACTGGGAAGAAATAGACTAAAATGCTAAAAATGGTTGACCTGGGCTAGAAAGATTAAAATTTTTCTTAGGTTTATACTTTCCTGTGCTTTCCAACCTTGAAAAATATTTAGACAAGAGAAGAAAAAAGAGAACAATTCCAGTCTCAGCTCTGGCGATAACTGGACGCGTGACCTTGGGCAGGTCAGCCACCCTCTTCAAGACTCGATTTCTTCATTGCGTGTTCATTCCTTCTTTCCTTCCTTCTAGAAATCTCACCTAAGGGCTTCGTCTGTGCGGCTGGGGGCTGGGGACTCAAAAGCGAATCAGAATCTAAACATATGAAAAGATGTTTAACCTTGTTCCTAATCAGAGAAATACCAATTAAAACTAAGCCAGGAGACCATCTCTCATCTATCGGATTGGCAAAAAGCCAAAAGTTTGGCAGCATCTTCTGTTGGCGGGACTGTGGGAACACAGTCTCTCGTACAACATCTGGTGGGGATATAAAATGGTGCCAGCCCGAGATGGAGGGGAATTTCACAATTTCTAGGAAAATTACATGTGTGTTTACCCTTTGACCTAGCAATCCCACTTCTAGAAATCTATCCCAAAGAGATACTGGCAAAAATAAGACATGATGTATGCATAAAGCTATTTGCAATAGTAAACCACTAGAAATGACCCAAATGTCCATCAACAAGGGTTCGTGGACCACGCAACGGATGACTCTGCAGCTAGAAAAGGGAATGAGGACGGTATCTACATGCTGTGATGACATGGTCTCAGGGCACAATGTTAAGTAAAAAAGCAAAGTGGAATAAACTATATATAGTACACTATCATTTATCAAAGAAAGGGAAGGGAATGCATATTTTCTTTAATTTAAAAAAATAAGTTAAAATATAAAAAATAAAAGTTTAAAATTCTTATCTGTTGGAGGAGGGAAGAAACAGGGTGGAGGGCAGGAGGGTAGAAACTAGACTGCTCTGAATATGCCTCATTTTGTAGATTAAGTTTAGAATGAGGTAAAGGCTTTACTTCAAAATAAAACAGAATTAAACTGAAATAAAAGTCAAAAGCAATCCCTCAAAAATCGAAAGCAAAGTAAAATAAACGACTGCACTGAGTTGGTGGCCTCCCCGTGCAGAGTTGAATTACTTCAAGTGATGCAAAAAGCTGGTGTCTTGACTACACTTCACTAGCAGGATATTTATTCTAAAGACAAAAGAACTGCAAACAAATTGTAAAGTGCTTTCCGTCATCCTACTGTTAGTAATACTACCAGTATTGTTATTCTAAAGTTTTTATAATATATAGAGAAAGTGGGAGAAAGCAAATCGGTAATCACGTTAACATCGTTAGGAGGCAAGATTTTCAGCTTTAGAGAAAAGAGAGACAAATATAAAATCAAAGAACTTAAGTAAAAGCTCTATAGCCTTAGGTTTTATTTAAAACATCAATAGGAACTCTTGATGAATATTTTCTTAAGAAAAAATATTTCCCAGCTCTGCACACCAAAAATGCCTCGAGGCAATGACCAGCCAAATGGCATTGGTACCCCTAACATCCAGATCTGTGGTCTCTAAATACCATTTCTCACCAAAGAACCAGGGCTTCACAGAGAAATAGCTGATTCCAGGTCTGGGCAGAAAATCTACAAGAAAAACCTGAACATCTTATCATACCAGAAAGCCAGGAAGCTAATAAACACTCTTTGGGTCAGGTCAAAAGAACTAAGAAGCCAATAACAGAGATGCCCACTGGCCAGAGATGGGGCATTTTGAGTGATAACAAGAGTAATAACTGTAATGGATTGAAACACAGCAAATGCATTAAAAACGATGAGATAAGAAGGATGCAAAAATCCAAAACCAAACCAACGACCAAAAATGCCTTGCTGTTCACCTTTGGAGAATGTTAGGGAATCAACTCAGTATTCTGGAAACTGATAAATAAGGTGCAAGCACCAAGCATCTATCCTGCCTCTCCTGAATAGATTGGACCTCAGAGAAACCAGAGTTGCTGAGAGAAGTATTCCAGCTAATAAATGAAGAAGGAAGAATAAAATTAAAATATCCTTTTTTTTTTTTTTTGCAAATCTCTAACAAAATTGTGGATCTAGGTACTGACGATCAAGGCTTCTAAATGTATAGAAAGACAGACCACCAAACACTGTGCCTGTGAGGAGGCACACACCGACCGTGAAGGGTTCTTGCCCAAACTTGGACTCTGAATGGAATCAAGTCTCTAGACCTAACTACCAATTTATAGGAAAGGCAGGGGACCGAAGACTACGTTCAATGACACCACGAGGGATGAAGGGAGAGAAGTCCAGAATGTGGAAAACTACAGGGACACACTTGTTACTCAACAAATAAGTAGGAGAAAAAATACGAGAGTGGGGAGAAACCTATAGACTGGAAGAAACTTCAGGGACCCAACCACCAAGCGAAATGTGTGCACCTTGTTTGCATCTTGATTTTGAACAAATGAACTTTGAAAGATCATCTGTGAGACAACTGGGGAAACTTACACACTACTGGATATTTGATAAACAATTATTATTAAATATGAGTATTGGTATTCTGGTCATGCCTTTATCTTTTAGAAACACATACTGCAATATTTATGGGTAAAGTGATTTGAAGTTTTGGATTTGCCCCAGCGGAGGAGGCGGGGTATATAATTGAAATGAGTGGCCTTGAGTTGGTGAGGGTTGAAGCCAGGTCAGGAAGGCCTAGGGTTATTTGTACTATTCTATTCTGTGTATGCTTGAAATTTTCCACGATAAAATGTCTTTGCTGCTCTCAAGGAGGTGGGAGGAAGACTAAGACGTGTCAACCAAAGAGATCAATTTTCTCCAAGGCGGTGGTGGGGGCAGATCCCAGAACGCTGCACCTCCCTCAGGAGTAAACTTAAGCAGGCATGTGCGTGCAGAGGGAGGAGTTCCCAGCAGAGGGAAGAGCATGAGCAAGTGCAAGAAGGCCCCCCATCTGGGGATGGCAAGTGATCTCTGCACTGAGGGAGCAAAGGGACAGATCAGAGTCAGAGGCTAAGGGGAACATGGGAACATCTTGGAGGGCCTTGAATGCCCAGCCAGGAAGGCCCGGAAAGGTGTAAGCTAGGGAGGGACATTGTGGGCTCTGTGTTTAAGCAATGTCACCAGGCAGCTGGCGAGATTGGAGGAAGAGGCCTGGATGGGTGTGGAGAGACCTGAGCAGAGGCTGGGTAGGGGTCCTAGAGGGAGACGGGAGGCCTGAGCTGGGCTGTGGCGGGGGGACGGGCTGGAGGGGCAGGGTAGCTGCAGTGAGGAGGTGCCTGTGAGGGAGGAGTCCATGCTGAGGCTGGTTCCTGGCTGGGGTTCCTGGCGGGTGTTGGTGCCGTTATTAAGATGGGGTGAAGGGAACATGTTAGGCCCCTCCATCTAGAGCCCTGGCTGGGAGGCAGGGGCCTGGGTTTGGGCGCTAACTCTGCTCTCTGGCTGTGGACTCCAGGGCATGTCTCTGCCCGTTTCTGGCCTAGGGATCCCCATCTCTGAAGCAAGGGGTAGGAACCTCAGATCAGGGTTTCTCCGAATCCACCCCTGGACGGATCTGCACCCAGCTCCTGTGTACATCCCTCTGGCCTGCAGGAGGATCACGAGTTCTCGTGTGGCTTCGCTGAAAATCCAGTTGTGTGATGTCAATGGCATTTCCCTTCAGAAAAAGGAAATGAGGTTAGCGAGCATGTTACCAGGAAAGGAAAGTTAGCTGGGCCCCACCCTCTGCAGCCCTTGCTCCCCTCTCAGAGCATGCGAGGCCCCTCCGCCTAGGGCTGGGGACAGGACCCAGAAATGTCGCGGTTCAAACAGAGGCACCAACACAATATAGGTGAGTGTTGACTGTTAGATCTATGACTTCCAAGCAGGGCTGGGCGCCCCCCAACAGAGTCAGCACCCTCTCCAGTGCCTGTGGCCTGGACCTGGCCACACTGGGAGACTGAGGTCACAGGAAGCCCCAGGGGACTCATTCAATGCCAGCAAGGCCCTAAGGGTGAGCTCCCTGCACATTACGAGGCTGAGGCCCAGAGAGGAGAAGGGACATGGCCAAGAGCACAGGGCAAGTCAGAGAACCCGGGTACAGGTCACATAGCCCCTGGGGGGCAGTGGTTCCAGAAAGCCTGTCATGCTGCAGGGCCCCCAGAATGCCCTGCTCCTAGTGGACGTCCCCAGAAAGTCCTTCTCCAATTACAGCTATTAAGTGCTTTTAATAAACCCCTGACCTTTAACTTTTGAACATTCCTTAAAATGCTGTTACGAAGACAAAACGAAAACAAATTCCAATCCATCTAATTAAATTGCTGGATACTTTTGAACTGAAAGAAAAAATAGTAAATTGACAAATTTGTGTGTTTAGCAAACCAGTCATGTGCAAGACTGATCACTTGGCAAACTGGCCATGGGAGCACAGATCCCATGCACCAGCCGCCTCCTGGCTGAGCGCCCCGCGGGCAGGGCCCAGGGCCAGCTCCTCTCCCCAACCCTTACCCAGGGCCCGGCTCGCAGCGGGCTAGGACGTTGGTGAGTTAGTACACTAAGGACATGGAATTCTGACATGGGACCTGAATGTCCTCGAGGGTTGGAGGGCTGATGGGGCGGATTAGCAATGGTGACCTTGGTCACCCCGATACAGTGAGGTAACAGGGTGGAAAAAATCCTCACCTTTGCTTTACTGCAAAAGTCAACTTGGGTCATACTTTCCACTGTGCCCCCCGCAGGGAGGGCGTCTGGCTCACCTCCCACACACCCAGGGGCTGGGGGTTTTCAGGTGACTCGGAACTAGGTACTTGTGTGTCTGCACATTTGCAGGATCCCTCAGCAACAACGGAGCCAGAAAAGGCAGTGTGTGCCCTGTGTGCAGTGTTGGTGAGCTTGTATATGTGCATGCAAGGGTACATGTGTGTGTGAGCATGCAGGCATGTGCACATGTGTTTGCACATGTGGACGGCTGTGGTGTGTGGTTTCTGTTATGCATATACAAATGCTTGTGTATCTGTGTTTATTGCTGTTGTGTGTGAGTATATGTGAATGAAGTATTTATGCAGACCGTGTTTGTGTGGCGTGCGTGTGTTTGTGCGAGCATCCATTTGTTTACAGGCTTTCACCATGCAAGTGTATTGAGTTTATGTACCTGTTGATCCATGGACGTGTCTGATGACTGGGTATGTACAAGTATGCATATGTTTGTGCTTTCTGTGTGAATACATGCTTGTGTGTTGATGTAAATCTGCATGAGTGTGTGGGATGTGTGTGCACGTTTCTGTAGGATGCGAGTGTGCCCTGTAGGTGCATCTTAAAGTAGGAATGTGGATGGGTGAAATGTGTATGTGTGGGATGCTGTGGGAATGAGTGTTTTGTGTGCCTGTGTGGAGATCTACAAATGTGTGTACATGGGTGAATCTGTACGTGAAGCGTGTGCGTGCACGTGTGATATGTGTGGTGTGTATGAGTGTGTGTGGTTGCAGGTATGTGCATGCACAAACGTACCCTTGTTGTCCTTTTCTTTCCTTTCCTCCTGGGGAACTACAGAGCTTCTAAGTCCTAACCGTGGCTGGTGGCTCTTCCAGGAACATGGTTTCCTGGACTTGAAGAGTGAGAACGTCAGAGGCCCCACGTGAGTGAGGAAGGGAGGTGGGCCCGAGGCCTGGGCTCCTCCGAGAACTGGGCGGAGGCCCCAAGGGCCACGGCTGCAGGCCAGCCTGGTGAAGGGGCTGGGACACCCAGGGCCTCAGCACCCCCTGCATGCCCTGGGGAGTATTGCTGCCACCTCTGGTCTTCAGTCTGCCCCTCAGTGGCTTTTAAAGCCTTTTTTGGTGGGGGGAGTAGAGCCAAAAGAAAATCTCACAAGGATGCCTGCTGTGGAAAGCAGATGAACAAGTGGGAAGGCTCGGGTAGGGAGGGCCTGGGAAGCATCTCCATGGAAGATAGGGCTAAGCTCCCAGCCCGGCTATCCCTGGGCCTGCTCAGTTTACATTCCAGTTTGCAGTTTAACAACACACCTCCAAGCGTAATCTCAGCTAATCCTCATGAACTGCTTCCAGGCTGTGTGGGGAGCTGGAAGCAGGGCGGGGACATGGACTGGCCCTGGTTCCACTCCTGCTCCCTCTTCTAGCTGAGCAACGTCTGCGCCCCCAGCCTCTCTCACAGCGGGGATCATGTGAGACCACGCAAGTTGACACCGTGTTCCGTCCACACCTGGCACACAGTAAGCCGTTGTGCTAAGATTATCACTTTACAGATGGGGAAACTGAGACCTGGAGAGGCTCTCTGACTTTGTCCGAAGTCAACCTAGAGATGCTGGAAAAGACTGAGGCCCATCCTGACCTCAGATGTCCACCGTCTGTCACGAGAAGTGTTTTCTTGTTCCTCCGAGCTTGGCCAGGCCGTGGTAAACCCCACATGTGGTTCTGTGGTTGCCCACACAGACCTAAAAATAGCCAACAGGAGCCCGGGGACTCCCCCCTTGGTAAATGGCAGAAGGCCCAGTCCTCGGGCAGCCACGGACCTGCTCTGCCCCACAGACGAGCGGGTCCTGTCTAGGGAGGGCGGGGCGGCCTGGGTACCGCGTGTGATGTGCCAGAGCCTGTGCCGAGCTGGTAACACAGATTATTTTATTTCATTGGTTTGGTGTGTTTTTTAGAGTCTGTGATGGCCCATTGGACAGACATGGAAATTGAGGCTCAGAGAGATGAAGTGACCTGCCCAGGGTCAAGGAGCTTCAGTGAGAACCCAAGTTGTTCTGGTCCAAGGCCTGTGTTCTTAATCCCTCACCCCCTCAGTCCTTCCCTATCCTGAGCCTGGGGGCAGCTGGTGCAGGGGCGAGAGCAGGAGCTTTGGAGCCACAGACCTGGCCTCAGATCCCAGCCTCACTGGGGCCTCCGTGTGGCCTCGGTGAGTCTTCAGCCTCAGTCTCCTCACCTACAATCAGGGGCCACATTGCCACTATGTGGATCCTGGTGGGGATCGAATGCAATAAGGCATGGAAGCACCCGGGGAGGGCCTGGCATGCAGTGAGAGCTCACTGTCTCCACCCCCAACTACTCAGGACCACGCTTCCAAGGCAGGGCTGAGAGAGGCTGTGTGGGCTGAGCCTCTGGAAGTGTCCTGCCAGGTCAGGGAAGTGGGACTGCTATGGGAGGTCAGGAGAGGAGGTCCCTGTGGGAGGCGTACTTTCCAAAAATGGCCTCAGGAGCATTTCCAGGTCCACACACTGGAAACTTGTCATTCTCCATCGAGAGATGGAGTCTATTGCCCCACTCCTTGAAACTGGGCAAAACTTTGTGACTGGCTCAATGAGCAGAATGCAGCAGAATCGTCATCCCACAACTTCCCAGGCTAAATCTACGAAGGGAATACAGCTTCCACCTGTCTGTTTGTCTGTCTGCCTGCCTGTCTCTGTCTCTGGAATCCAGCCACCATATTGTGAGGAAGCCCAGGCCATATGAGAAGGACACTATGGGTGCTCTTGCCAACAGCCTCAGTTAAGGTCTTGGCCAGTGACCAGCTTCAGCCACTGGACACATGCATGAACGACTCTTCAAACGATTCCAGGTCCTGACTACAACCAAGCCAGGTCACGTCAAGCAGAGCAGAGGCGAATGATGCCCTCTGAGCCTCCCCAAATGCAGGTTTGAGAACAAAGTAAACGTCCCTGTTTCAAGCGCTAAGTTTCTGGTACTCAGCACTGGGTAACAGGAACCGCCCTCCTGCCCTGCAGCCCTCCAAGCCACCCCAGCCAGGTACAGGTAAGCCCCTCCCCATGTCCCACTCCCACTCCCACAGCCAGAACCTGGGTCAGTCCTCTGCCCACTGCTGAGCCCTCCCAGCCGAGACAGCCAGCCTGGCTCAGAGCCCCGCTCCAGCACTTTCCCTGCGTGCCCTCGGGCAGATCACCAACCCTCTATGATGCTCAGTTTCCTCTGTGTCGAGTGGGAATTGTGATGGTAGCTCTCAGGAGTCTGGAGGGTTAACCAAATAAAGTGCCTGGTACAGAGTGAGTGCTCCTTGGGTGGACGCAGGGGTCAGAGGCTGGAGAGAAAGGAAGAAGTCAAAGATGTGGTCACAGGAGAGACGAGGAGAGGGTTTCAGGGAGCCTGGAAAGCGAAGAGTTCTGTGGTCATCAAATGTGAGAAGCACAGTTCTGTGCAGGTGGGATGGGTCCCAAGGAGGCGCTGCCCTCAGGCTGCTCTCAGATTGACTGAGGTATGGGAGGAAGAGGAGCTGGGCCGGGCAAGTGTGTGTGTGTGTGTGTGTTGGGGGGGGCCGGGCACTAGAGCCAGGTGGGCTCAGCTACACCTGAGTGTCGGCTCTGAGGCTTCTCAGAAACCAAGGGGCACCCTCCCTGCCCCAGCCAGAGCCAGCCCGGCCGGCCCTATCTAGGGAGATAAAGTCACTGCCGAGGCTCCCAGACCAGAGCCGTCCTTATCAGCCCTGGTAGTCTGGGGTATTTGGGAATGTAAACGAGCCTGATGCTCCAGCCCAAAGACACAAAGCAGAGGTGGGGGATGGTCCCTCTCCCCATCCCCCTTCCCTCCTTGCAGCCCTACAAGTGGGCGAGGCAGGAGAGCAGCCTTAGGGCCGGGGCGAGCCCTTCACCCACCACCCACCAGCCTCGATGTCCCGGAAAACACAGCCCTGCAGAGTTCACTGCCTAGTGGGCGAGATGGACAAGTAGGTAATAATAACAACAGCAATAGCAAGCTTGTTTCTGAGCACTTGCTCCACGCCGGCACTGCTGTGGGTGAGCCACATTGCGCCGAGTGACTTACACAGGTGAACTCACTTAATTCGCACACAGCCCCATGGTGTAGCACTGTGAATATTTCCACCTTACAGAGGAGGAAGCTGAGCCACCGGGAGGTGACCGCCGGCATGCGAGTTCCAGAGCAGGGTTCAAGCTCGGGGAGGCCTGGCTCCCTGAGAGCGCAGCGAGGGCTGTGATGGGGGTTCCACCACGGGCAGTCTCTCCTGGCTGAGCTAGATGGAGCTGTGGCGAGACAAGGGAGGGAACGGGTCAGCGCAGAGTGGGTGCCCCACAAGGCTCAGTGTCCACCGCCCCCCCCCCCCAGCCGCCTGCCTCTGCACCCCTCCCCTTCCCTGCTCCATTGCCCTGGGGCCTGTGGCTCGGGGCTCCCAGTCTTACGGAGGCCCCTTTGCGAGGCGCTCCTGGGGTCCAGAGGTGCGAACACCAGGCAGTGGGAGCAGGGAAAGAACTCGGGGTTTGGGGCCAGGTGGTCGGACAGGGTTTAAACCCTGGCTCTGCTCCCCTCTGGTGGAGTGATGGCCGCAGCACCTGCTCATCCCAGGGCCTCCGTTTCCCCGTCTGTGAAACGAGGTGTGGCTGAAATGACCTTCATGGCCTTGGGCTCTGCTGACATTCCAGACCCCATGTGAGCCCAGTAACCATCGCTGCACCAGTGGAGATGCAGGCGAGGGGCCTGGGTGGCCGTGACAGGGGTCTGCGGGCCTTCCTAGGGGAGGAGGCATTGAGCAGACCCCTGACATATATTGCTCCTTTTCTGCTCCCCCGCTGCCTCCCTTCCATGCTTTTCCCTGAGCCCAGCAAGATCTGGTCCCTGGGCTGAGGGGCTTCGGGCTGGGCAGGGGGCTGAATGCTCCATGTCACAGGGGCTCAGATCAAGGTCTGCACAGGGGACAGTGAGGAGGGGGCATTGAGTGAGGGAGGGGTCAGGGCACCTCGTGGGGAACTCTGGGGCGTGGGACACGATCCTTGAAGAGTAGGTGGGTGTTTGCCAGGCAGAACAGAGGGTGAAGAAAAGAGCCTCTGGCAGAGGGAGGTGGAGACCAAAGCCTGGCGGTGGGAGCAGGGGCATCTGTCTCCTGCGAAGAGGCTGGAGCGCGGGAGCCAGAAGAATGGGAAGAAGGGCTTGAACAGCAGGCAGAGGAGCTGGGGTCCTGGGGAGCCATGGACAGGTTTTGAGAAGAGGAGGGGTGTGATCAGAACTGTGTCTCTGCCTACCATGAGGAGGCTGGACCGGAGCGGGGAGATGGCTGGGAAGCCAGGAGACCACAGGGCGTGCAAGTCTGGAGATGCAGGCAAGAGAGAAGGAGGCCCGAACCCAGTCAAGGGCAGTGGGCAGGGAGGGTCTATTTCAGAGATGAAGGGATGGCCTAGGGACACAGTGATTGTCAGGGGAAGGAGGGGGAGGCAGGTGACCCCAGGGGTCTGGCTGGCTTGGGCACAGGGTGGACAGTGGTGTCCACCACTGCAGAGACTGGGGGGTGGGGAGTGGACAGGCCCAGTGATCGGCTCTGTTTGGGACGCACAAAGCATGATTATGTGGTGGTGATCCTGGGCTGGGCCCCACCCCTGAGAATGCAGGCTCCAGGTCAGGCCTCAAAATGGGAGGCAGGGGTGGGGAGGGGGTGGGAAAGGCCATAATGGGAACATAGGGTGGGGTGACCAGGACAGAGAAGGGGATGTTGGGAAGATACCCAAGGCATCCTCCTCTCGAGGGTCTGGAGAGGAGTCTTCAGGGGCCGGGAAGGCAGAAACCTCATGGGCAGCATGGGTCCCTCGGCCTGTCCCCCTGTCTGCAGGCTGGCCTGTCCCTACAGTCATGGCTGATTTGAGCTTTCTGGGCTGCTGTCCTGTGTGTGCAGTGCGGGGGTCGGACCAGAAGACCTCTGAGCCCCTTCCCTGTCTGACTCTTCCCGGCTTCTCTGTTTTCCTTCACCCCCCATTGATCACGTGGCCTTATGTAAGGCCTCCCGACTCTGGGCCTCAGCTGCCTCCTCTGATCCAGAGGCTGGCCTGGACTGGAATGATCTCTAAGTTTGCACAGAAGGCCTCAGTGTTTGTTCAAAGGGCAAGCGAGCAGATTCCAGCTGCCGAAGCCCCAGCCTTTGCTCCTCTCTGAGGAGTCCACTCTCAGGCCTGCCTCCCTGGCCGGGTGACCTGCCCCCTGCCCTCAATTAGTCAGCTCCCAGGATACGGCCACAGCCTGTCTGCTCCCAGTTCGCCCACCCTGTGACCCGCTGCGCGTCCCAGAGCTGGGGAGGGGCGGCCTGCAGGCCCGAGGCTTCCCCCTCAATCTCGGGATTGGAGCCAGCTCCCCAGTAAGCCCCGTTGTCCCCAAGGGGAGATGCGGTGGCCCCGCCTGCTCTCAGCAGACCCTGGAATTCAGAAAGAAGGCAGCTGGCGGCAGAGGGATAATGACCCCGGCTTTTAAACTTTCTCTGCAAAGCTCTGGATGCCGTCACATGGACAACCCTCCCCACGGCCCAGCGAGGAAGGACGAGCAGGGAGAGCCGTGGCACAGATGCAGAAACTGGGGCTCTGAGAGAGAGGAAGTGACTTTCCCAGAGTCACACAGCAAGTGGCAGAGCTGGGACGCAAACCTTGGCTCCGCCACAAGCCCATCCTCCGTGGGGACTTCTGATTCTGATGATTCCCAAAGTTCCTCCAGAACCCACACCCTATGCCAGGGTTCCTCCTGGCAGATGAGTGAGGTCAGGCAGAGGGGAAGGGCAGGACAGCCCGAGCTCGGTGAACTGCACTCCATCACTGCCCCATGTGAGAGACAGGCTGACCCTGCTTGCTCTACCTCCACGTGGACTTGAGACCCTGCCATAGCCCTCAAGGCCCTAGGAGGCCAATGGCCTTCCTGGCCCTCCAGCCTCTTCTCCCCTTTTCCTCCTTTGCCCTGTGAGCTCCTGCCGTATGGTTTTCTTTGCTTTCTTAAATATACCAGGCCCCCAGCTGCAGGGCCTTTGCACGTGCAGTTCCCTTAGCTTAGGAGCCACAGCCCCTTCCATGTCCATTCTTAACGCCTCTTCATCCTTCCATCATTTTAAATAACGGCTTTATTGAGATATAATTCATATATCACACATTCACCTATTTAAAGTACATAATTCAGTGGTTTTTAGTATATCCACAGATTTGGGTAACCATCACCACAAACAATTTTAGAATATTTGCACCCCCCTCCCCACCCCCACAAAGCCCTGTACTGGTTAGCAGTCACTGCCGCCACCTCCTCACTGTTTGGCAACCTCTAATCTAATCTCCGTCTCTATGGATTTTCCTATTCTGGACATTTTGTATAAAAGGAATCATACACTATGTGGTCTTTGAGACTGGCTTCTTTCGCTTAGCACAATGTTTTCAGGATTCATCCATGTTATAGTATATGCCAGTCCTACGTCGCTCTTTATTGCTGAACAATATTCCATCGGATGGACACACCACATCTTGTTTATCCATTCCTCAGTTGATGGACATTGGGTTGTTTCCACTTTTTGGCTATTATGAATAATGCTGCTATGAACATTCCTGCTCAAATTTTCTGTGTGGATGTGTGTTTTCATTTCTCTTGTATATATTCCTAGGAGTGGAATTGCTGGATCATGTGGTTGTTCTGTGTTTAACCTTTCAAGTTACTGCCAGACTGTTTCCCACAGAGGCTGCATCATTTTCCACTGCAACTAGCAGTTATTAGAGTTCAAGTTTCTTCATATCCTCATCAATGCTTTTTATCTTTTTATCTTTCTATGGCCATTGTAGCCGTTTTCATACCCATGAGAGCCAACAGGCCTGGCAGACAGCGTTCTAATCCCGCCCTCACACCATCCGGCTGTGTGACATCTTTGGACTCTAAAACCAGATCATTGCATATGCTGAGTGGTTTACTCCTTTTCTCTATTTGGATGCAGAACTGTCTCTTCATTTGAAATAAGAGGAACCCAATATAACTGATATCTCATTGTGGTTTTGAGTTGCGTTTCCCTGATGGCTAATGATGTCAGAGCATCTTTTCACGGGCTTATTGGCCATTTGTATATCTTCTATGGAGAAATGTCTATCCAGATCCTTTGCTCATTTTTCAATTGGGTTATTTGTTTTTTAAGATTGAATTGTAAGAATTCTTTATACTATATTCTAGATACAAGCTCCTTATCAGTTATATGATTTTCAAAATTTTTTCTCATTCTTAATGGTGGTCTTTGAAGCGTAAAAGTTTTAAATTT